ATTTACCTTATAATATATTGCGATGTATATTTGTAAATAGTATTTATGCTAATTAACAGACTTTTATTATGTATATATACCTAGTAATACCATGTTGTTTATTAAATTTTAAAGATTTTTCTACAAGTGATAACTTAAAAAAAACAACTTTATTTAATGAATTTTTAAAACTTTTTATGCATGCACCTCATTAATACCAATCAAAAATTATGAAATACAATGAATTTTTTGCCCAATATTTACTTCCCATTTTGCCCATGTTTTATTCAAATGTAGTGATATCTTTCTATTGAATTGTGATTTTACAAACCAAAATTCATATTTATCGTTTGTAGTTTTGTGTATGTTATTTTTACTACTTCATTATTGTTACCATGACTTTTTATTGTGCATGTGTACCTTGTAACGAATTATATGAACTATGAATTATTGCTTTACATTAATTTCATCCAAGCTTTGAAGTAATTATGTATTTTGAAGAGTGGAACAGTAAATATTATTCATTTTATTTTGTTTATAAGATTGAACTTAAATCAAAGTAATTGTGTAACTAATCATTTGAGTCACAGACTGCTATTTTAAATAGTGTTTATTTTTATATTTTCTTTATTCATATCAAACAAATTAGCTTCGCTTAGCTTAAGAACTCTTTTAACTTTTTATTAAAATAACTATTAGTGATGAAATTTAATATTTGGTGTAACTGAAATATTTAAATTTCACAATATTGTCTGAAGTTTTATTGACAATGTTTAGCTATTAAGGATTAATTTAAATTCTTCTTCTCCCTCACATATAGTTTTAAAACTAGTTAAACCGAGTGAATCTTTTTGAGAACCTCATCATTGAAGGTTTTTTATATTTCAAAACATTCAAGTTTTTACTTAAACTAAAAAAAAGTTTGTAGAAAGTATGATATTTAAACTGATCTTTATTTGGGGGAGTGGAATAAAGCTAATGATACCTGCCTTATTTTATGGTTAAGAAAAGTAAATAATTCCAGAAAAAAAAACTAATAATTCCTGAAATTTTTTAATTTCTCAAAAATATTTTTTAAAAACTTTTTTTATTAAAAATATATTTTTGTATTTGTTTATATATAATTTTATAAATTTGATAATTATTTTTAAAAAAGGGCAATAATATGCATATATATTCACTGAGAATTGTAACAAAAATTTAAAAATTACTTGCAAGTATGTAAGGGTGAGCTGGTTTTAAAACTAACTTCTTTTGTCTTGTTAGCCCATATTTTTTATTAGTACTTGGGCTAGTTTTTCAAATAAAATGCATTGGGATTGGAAGAAATGTCTCATATTTATTGTTTAACTTTATATTATATTTATTATAATGTAATATAAAGTTAAAAAAATAGATATTACTACATTATAATTGAATGGTTTGGGGCAATACAACGATAAGCTACATTTTCATATTGTTTAGAATGTTTTTGGTGAAAAACACTAAATTTTTGGTGTCAGCAACAAGACATTTCTTTGCAGTAATCCAGTGGAAATTCCAGAAACTTGTTCATTATCTATACTATGGAAAAGTTCGATGTGAAAATTCACCTTAAAAAAAAACTTTGAATGTTGCCCCAAGCTCTTCAATTACTTTATGAAATGAAAAGTCGTTGTAATTGAAGATAATTTTTTTCTGATCATTTATTAAATAAAAATATATTGTTATAGGCATATATTTTTGTAAACAAAATAATTCTATTGAACCAAATTTTTTAATTCATAGGTGTCAAAACTTATTTAAATTTTTGATTTATTTAAAATATGCATTTTAGAAGGATAATATTTGTTGTTTCACTGTTATAGTTTTTTTTCTTTTGCTACAAGCTTTGAACTGAAAAAAAAAAATCCTGTGATTCATTGAGCTTTCATAATCATTCATAAAAAATCATTGCTGTGAATGTATATTTCTGTAATGAAGACAATCATTTTTAATACCAAATAAAAATCTTATCATGCTTTTTTAAAGAAATATTTTTTTTAATTTTGTGTTTTGTTTGATTGCATATAATAATTCTTATAAACTTTTTCATATTTTAGGAAGGTTTAGGGTAATTAACATTAGCTTAACTTACACTTTTAATTACAAGTTGAAATTGGAGCACGCTAGCTAACAGAAAGTGGTTGAAAGTTTGATTGATGAAAAATTCTATTTGGTAATATAAACTTTACTTGCACAGGGTAGCTACTTTACAGGAAAATAAGGGAGAACACAGAAAAGGAGGAATTTTAACAAACTGGAAATGTCAGGGAATTTAAAATAAATAAAATCCAAAAATTTAGGGAAAATAAAGTCAATTGATTTTGATATACATAAAAGTCCAATGTTTAAAGTAAACATTTTATGTATAAAAATACCTGACAAAATTCATGATGTTGTCTATTGAAGGGACAGTCCATAAAATCGGTGAGGTAAATTTTTTTCTCTAAATGTTTGTAACTAGTAAGTATTGAAATTTGTATTGTAACTTGACAGAGAGTGCCATTTAAATTTTGAATTCACTAGCCGGAAAGTGCTCAAAATTTTAAATGATAGATTCTGTTTATAGCTATCAGGAAACGATTGAAACTAGTATTCTTATTAGATACGCAGCTTCACATAAGATTGGAGCACTATATTTAGTCGGGACTTTTGAGTGACGATAAATTCTATTTAGCAATTCCTTTCCTGACAGTTGGGGAAATGGTTTGAACTTACATTGACATTAGGCACATAGCTCCTTCAAGAGATTTTGGTGTTCTAGCTTGTCAAAAAGTGGTTGAAATATTGATTTCGAAATTCTAGGTAGTTAAAAAATAGTAATGAAAAATGCGTTCCTGACTATTAGAAGTTGGTGTTCATTAAAACTTTTAGTTTTCAAAAAATGCTAAAATGAGGCTTTAGTAAACAGTATTCGTTTTTACAGCAACCAGAATATTTTAGTAGGGGTTCTAATCTTTTTACATAAAAATAAATGCGTGTCCTTTATAAACTCCTCAACCATTCAACTGAAAGTGATGAAATTTGGCATACTGAACCGATTGTTTGAAGCATGAGGAAAGTCACTGTTGGCGCCAGAGCATTCTGTTATGAGCGGTTTTTATTGGTTTGAACTTTCCATTGAGTAAAAATTAAATTCAGACGATTCTGTTTTGTTTTTTTAATCAAATATTTTGAAGGTAACATCAGTACTGTTTTCAAGTTTATAGCTCACATTAAAAAGAGGCAATTTATTGCACATTTTTTAATGTGAAATAGGTACCTATTGAAATTTTTAAAAAAATGTACTAAAAAGCGAAATTAATAAAGAAATGGTACAAATTTGCTAAAGAGAATCATATTCAATTGCAATGCTCTTATTGGTGCCAATGATGTTTAATTAACTTTGACAATAAGTATTTATTGAAATAAAAAATAAGCTATGTACTAAAAAATGAAGTTAATGGAAAAATGGTACTAATACTTAAAAGAGAAAAGTAAAAACCATTTTTGATGTTGATGCTTAATTTATTTTGGTGATAAGTACTAATTAAATAAAAATAATCTGCATTAAAAGCAGAATTAATGAAGAACTAATACTAATTCTTTTAAGAGAATTAAAAATTGCTAAAATATTATAAACTCCAATTATGCCTAAGTAATATTGGTGATAGTGAAATTTAACTTATTGAAATTTAAAAAAAAAAAAACTTACTAAGTACTCATCGCTACACAAAAGCAAAATTAATCAAGAAAAGGTGTAATAGGCATTACTGGTATTAAGGTAATAGGTCCAGTTTTAATTCCTAGGTTCTAAATATACTAATATGGATACAACATATGTTTGTATATTTGACCCCTTTTAGAACTGCATCGATACTTGGAAGCTTTAATATAGATACTGTGAAAATAGGTTTATGGCCTCTCTAAAGGAAAAATCGCTCCAGTGTGCTAAATTTTGAGTATTATCAGTTGTCAAGCCAATAGCATCCAGCCAAATGATTTTGAATACAGTGAATCTTTACTCTGATGGAATGAACTACTAAAAGCGTATTTTGCTTAATCTAATAACACAAATTATAATTAAAAAAAATTTTAACATTATTTTAGCTTTATTCATTGTGTTGGTAAATGACTAAATTTTGTGCATAATTTCGTTGCGCAGTACTAATTTGTTTACTTTTCTCACTCTGTACAAAGAACGGATATTCAGCTAGTTAAAATATTTCTCATACTTTCCTGATTTATATTGTCCTGCTTTGAAGAGACATTATAAACATACCTAGGAATTCTTGTAAAATTAATAACAATATTAAATATTCTTCCAAAACTATTAGTGAACTTTGAAACTATTGTCATTAATGGAACTTACGGACACATATTATGTTCTTTACTTATTACAATATGTACTATATAAGTGTGAATTATTTTTTTTAATGGAGTATGAATAAAAAGGCAGTGTTGTTAAGGGATGGGGCTTATTTTTAGAAAAAGGAGTATTTTTGCACTCCCAATATTTTTTCCAAAAGAATAAAAATTTGGTACAGTACAGAACCCATTATCCGGAAATCAGAAAACCAAAAAACCGGAACAAAATTCGATAAATTTTCCCGCAATTTTTAAAAACAATTTTTTTTTTTCCTCTTAAGATTTTTCTTTTTTTTTTTTGAAAGATTTTCACCTTACCATCATTTTGGAAATTATTAGTGTATTACTTCATCATTTTTTCTTCTTTTTAAGATTATTTCCAAATATTTTTTTTTTTTAGTTGGGTTTAACAATAAAAAAACGGCTTTTTGTAGCGATTCAGAAAACCGGAAAAATCAGTTATCCGGAATAGCGATGGTCCCGATCATTCCGGATAATCGGTTCCCTACTGTACTTATACGAATAGTATACTTTTTGAGCACTTTTATCATAATCTTTTAAAATTTAATAAAAGTTTTAAAACAAAAAAATAAACCTTTATAAACTTAAGTTTGTGCATAGATGTTTTATAGACATAAAATTTTAAAAATGAATTAGTTTTCTTGACAAGTTTTATTTTCAAATAAATAACAGAATATTTATCATAAATCATAATATATAACAAATCGAAATCTTAGTGATATGACATATCAAGTTAGTTCACTATCTTTTATCATTATGTTTATGCTTAGAATGAGATCTATCATTTAAGTCATTTCTTCTTTTTTTCTTTGAGTCTTGCGTAATATAATCACTATGCCTTTTAAATGTGTCACTCTGTGTTATGTCTCGTTGTCTTTTCTCTCTGCGTTCATTATGATTAGAGTTACTCATTAACATATGTTTTAAGAATCTTTGGCTGGGACGATAATTTGGAGGTTTTGCCCAACTATGAGCACCATATTGTTCAGCTCTAATGGAGGCACATTTGACATCTCGCATAAGTTCCTTTTTGGCAAGCTCTAATATTTCCTCATCTTTTGTTTTCTCTGGTTTCTCTTCTTGAGGTGGGGTATTAATTGTGTCTGGAAATACAGAAAAATATATTTGTGAAAAATAATTTCAAATTTTTTTCAAATGATTCATTATATTAAGACAAAATTTTTTATTGTTCCATTAAAAAAAAGAGAAAAAAATGAAAATACGACTAATGCCAAATTATGATGAGAGAATTCAAGACCACAAAGGCAACTCTTCACCTCAACGGTCAATATATTTTATTTTACAGCCGCCACAGAACAGCCAGCCCAATTTTTTTGGTTTAAGACTACAAATGTTTAACTCCGCAGTATTGTAATTATTGAACCCAATCTAGAAGACAAGGGAACTCCTGTATCAAGTTTTGTAAGAAAATTCCCTCTGTGGAGGACTTCATGTTGGAATTAACTTGCATTTGTGTCACACGTAGACGAAAACCATCCACGGTTAGCCTGGCAGCAAGGGGATTCTAACCCATGATCCATCTACCACTGAGGATATGTTACGCCAGCACTGTGGTCGGTGCAAGCTGGATTCGGAATTCGTATTCACCAGTCATCGCTGGGCTTTGAACGCAGTTCACCTAATTGGAAGGCGAATACTCTAACCCCTGAGCCATCAGTATAGGGAATAAGGGAAGCAGTGGCATATAATCTTAATAAAGAACAGTGATGGTATACTGGACAAACATGTACTTTTTTTTGGATAAATGCACAAGATTTGTTTAAAATAATACATTTTTACCTATTTACGAGAATGAAAATATTGGTAACTTTAGTTAATTATGTTACATCTATAAAAGGAGAAGCTTTCACCCAGGAACTCTCCTACTGCCCATGAAATCAAAATTTGGATGTGTCCATGAAATAAATAAGTTATAACTTGATTAAGTATATTTTTTAATTAGCCTAATTGAAATTAATGCTAAATAACAATATGTTCTTACCAAGACATATGTCTTATATTTATACGTCATCTATGTCTTAAATTTGCTGCCAGATTAGATATACCAAAAGAAAAAAAAACACAAAAACATAATTTTGATGTTTTATAATTATCAGAGTAATTTGGAGCAATTACCTCAAATAAATGTAACATTGGATAAAAGTTTGTCACAAAAATAAAAGTCTCCAATTCTGGACAGTATAATCTATGGAAAAACTAAAATAGTTCCATATTCATAATTTTTAGTCATCAGGATCATTAAGAGTAATCTTCGTAATAGCTAGTAATGTGAAATAACACATTCTAAGCAGAGTAGAAGTCTCAAATTTGAAGAGGATTACACTAACTGGGATATTACTTTTATGCAGCATCGAAATGTAATTTTTAATTATAGTTCCAAGAAACTAAAAATCATTGTTTGCATCCATTCCAAAGTTTAAAGCTGTTTCTTCAAACTATTTAAAACATGAAAAATTGCAGACTACCACGTATACAATCACACGAGCATAATCAGCGATATATAATTTCCCTTTCTTTTAAACACAGTTTTTTTTCTAAAATAAATTAAAAAAAAAACAACAACAACTTAAATCTGGTAAAAGAGCTACATTTGTCTGGTTTAAAAATCTAACAACCCTATTTATGCATCAGTTTTAAAACTTGGAAATACATAAATTTATAAGATTTAATAAATATGAAAAATATGTAATTTTTTATCTTTGAAATTCTATTCATTGCACTTTTATAATAATTTATACAGAAAAATGTGTAACAATTCATATCCTCAGAAAGAAAAAAAAAGTGTTTGTTTACGAAAATTGAAGAGTGGAGTATAGAACATTCTCAACGAAGAACGAACAAGTTATAATTATAAAAGAAAACAATTTAAGAAATGGTCACCAAATTGGCAAATTATCTTTTATACGGCGACAAAAACAAATTTAGATCCATCACATTTAGGGGTCTGTCTAGGTTTTTTTAAGAGGTGCCCATTTTGTGAAAATTTAGACATAATTTGTGAAAATTAATAATTACATTAAAAAATCAACAAAAAAATATAAAATAAGAAAATATTTCAAAAATTTTCACTATAAATAAAAATAATTCATGACTGGTGAATTTCTATATATATTTTTCCCATTTGTTCAAAAACAATTTTGCTAATTGGCTTAAAATTGTATTTTAATTTAACAATCCATAAAAATCATTGTCCATAGTAGTTGCATCATCAGCCATAAAATGGTTTCAAGACCTTGCCACATATACTCCCCGAGGTAGCTGTTGAATTGTCCCTCTGTGTGGCTAGACTAGTATGATTTTTTAAAGATCTTTTAATTGCATCTCAGGTGCCTCAATGGAATTAGTATGGGCACCGATATCTGCGCCTTTAAAGGTCAGACTGTGGGTGACCTTCAAATGATCATATCCCTCATCTGAGAGGCAGTTATAGGCCCTCTAACAGTCACACACAATAATGGACCCTGGCATTATCCATTCTTTATTTACTTTCAATAACTTTTTATTGTCCGTTGCTCAACCGCTCGAAGAAAGAAAGAAAATTTATTCGTTTCCCTTTCAATCTAGCCAAACACCCATTGAATATTCAAAGACTTACCCCTTCTATACTTCATTTTTCCAAAAATTGCTCTCATCAGTTTCCACAACAACAACATTCATTCCTGCTATCTTAACACTTTCTTTTACTATTGCAACCATGCATACCTCTCGACAAAACATATACCAATCAACCACAGTGTTCTTATTAATTTTAACTTCATTCACAACAAATTCATTCATATCTTCCAAACAAATACCTTGTCACACGCAAAACATTACATACTTAATTTACTTATAGAAAACCACACACCCTTCCTAACACTCCGACAAGCATGCACAACCACAGTCGATCCACGCTTTCAACATCTCCATTCAAAACCATCTATCATATCCTTTTGCTCAATCTAACTCATTTGTCCTCTACATTTAGAGCATTCATACATTTTCGATATTAAATTTTGATTCCTACACCACTCAATCATCGCTCTCTTACCTTTCGCATTCAATAAAGTTAAAAATTTAATGATCCATTCGCTCACCATTTTCAACCGATACCGCACGATAAAATATAAAATAATTAAGATGATTCTAACAGCAAGACACCAGAAGCACGGTGAAGTAATAAACTCTCAACATATCAAATAATCAAACAGATTTAAGAATATTGGTGGTGTGATCGGACGTTCAAAGTAATCTCACTAAAATATCATCCAAAAACCTAGTTTAGAGAGATTTTAAAAATTTGCTTGGCGAAATATATAAAAATCGCCGCGGGGTGGGCTATTCCAGGATCCACCCCAACAAACCTTATCAGTTCTATAACCCTACTGTGTAAAATTTCCTTGCTGTGATCTGGGGTGGAATAATCGCCAACTCTTGGAAATTTGAGGGCAGTTTCCCTCGAGAAACTAAAACAAACATCATAGAAAGGGATCAACTCGAAAGGTATAACTCGTAGCCACCCCCGGGCAAACATCTACATGTTTATTTTTTTTTTAAATTTGCAAGTTTAAAACCTACTTGGCGATTGTAGTTGGCGCGACAGATCACGATAAGGAAATATCCCCTCCTTTAGAATACTTCCTAAGTAACGCATTTAGCAAAGACATGGAAAAAAATTTCAAATATTAAAAGAGTGAGTAGGCTACGCATGCAGTACTGTTAACATATTTTAGAAATTATAATTTACTAACCATTTACTTTCGTTTCTTCCATTAGCAATAACTTCTCAAAATTTTACATGACAAAGTAATGAAATCTACATTAGAAAAACTAACTTAAGGAACAAACAGGCTAATTGGTGCTTAGCTTTTTTAAAAGGCTTTGCAGTAATTTTAAAATTTGCTTCTAGCTTACATGTTTTTAAAGCGCTATTCCCACTACTGTATGTGTAAGATATGCATGTGTAGAGCCGGAGTTATCGACAATGCCAACCTTCATCTATCAAAAGGAGGTACAACGTGATTGAATCAAGTAAGCATGTCTTATATACCAGTGAATTGATGTTTAATATTCGTAGTGGTAGTTACGCCACAATACTCCCCCACCAGAATTTTATCAGTAAAAGAATTCGATGAACGAATCTCACTAGTTGCTGTACTTGTGAAAGACCGGGGGAGCTTTGTTGAGTGCTGAATGTGAGAGGTGTATTAACATCACGTTGTAGCGTTCGTTGTTGCTTCCATGTTGCATTTTGCAGTCACAAGTAGCAAGTCAACTGTTCAATGTTGACTATCCATCGTAGTAGGCGTTACCGTCAAGTTATTTTGCGAAGTGGGCGTTACTGCGTGTTCAAATCACGTCCGGGTCACCAATGTGGGAGCGGAGTTATTGACAATGCCAACCTTCATCTATCAAAAGGTACCTCGTGATTGAATCAAGTTAGCATGTCTTATATACCAGTGAATTGATGTTTAATATTCGTAGTGGTAGTTACGCCACACATGCATGAAACCGGTAGAAGAGCATATGCAAATTTTACTGGTGCATGCATATAGGGCTATGGAACCGAATCCCTGTTTGCTTCTTATTTATTTATCTGACACTAGAATTACACATTGGGCTCATGGTGACGGTCTGACGAACATCTTTGAGGATGAACCAAGGATGTGTCATCACAATCGTGATCCTCTGCAGAGGGGAAAGGCTCCCCGCTTCGGTTGCCTGACAACCTGTGTGTGAGCATTTTACTGAAGAATAGTTTAACGAGTATCGATACCGCACATCCTCGGTCCCTTCGCAAACTGATAAAATGATCATCCACCCGCTCACTGACCATTGCTAATCAAGGGAGCATTCCCACCACCTGTGGAAAAAAAATCGCCTGTGCAAATTTGGAGATATGAACGAGAACCTGATTGACGAGTTTTTCGCAAGTAAATGCATTACACCAATCAGGTTTTTAATCTCAGAATTCGCATACGTGAGTTGCAGTGTGAGTGGCCCTTAATGCTAGGAGTCTACTGTGAGATAACTGGGGCACTATTCCACGAAACTTCCCCTAATTGTTGATTTTCTAATCGGCTGATTATTGTTCTAATTATTAGAGAACTGGTTTCACCAACTTAATCAAAACTCCTGCTACGGCTGATTAGCTGATGCGCGGTGAAAGCTGTAGTAGTCGATAACGTAACTGAAGTCTGAACTGTGCTTGGTTTACTGGTTTATGATTCAAAATGTTTGTAACGGAAACGCATATTTGTCCTTTGTTTTTTTTATATTATAGTGAGAAAAACGTATCATCAAAATATTGAAACAAAAACATTCGAGAGCCCTAATTTTCCCAATTCTGATACTAAGAAAAATTACTCACTGAGTTAATAGTAAAAAGAAAACATGCAATTGAGAACAAAAAAAAAAGAAGAAGAAAAAAGAAAAAGAAACTGATGCAGTGAATGATAAAAGAGAAGATACGGAATGGGTAAAAATTGCTATAGAATTTAATGGCACAAGTTTGAAGCAGCGATCGGAATCCTCACTAAGAAATTTATGGGACAACATGAAAAGAAATGACAGGAAAACGTAATCAAATCATAAAGTTGAAACCTTCAAGACAGGTAAGTTTATTATTCATATACTAATTTTAACTAAGATTGAATTATATATTACAGTTCATAATAAGATGCAGGCGCCTGTTTCTTATTATGCAGTGCGCACTGCACAATGCAGTTTTGTTTATTAAACAGAATGAATTTAAAAACAAATTGATTCGTTGCCCAGTATTTACGTAATTACTATAAAGTGTCTTAAAAAATGACACCATCTGGACAACTTTCTTACTTCATTTACAACTGAGATTAGTAGAACTGAGTGCAGAAAATTCCTAATATATTCTTCAAGCATCACGATATTTCGATTTAAAGACTTTTTGCACATAATTTTAAAAATCGTTTTTCCAAGTGCAATTCCATGCAAAAATAATTTCTCATAATTATTTATTACTTTTCAAACATTTTATTTAATAATGGTCGAACATTTTTTAATTATCAGATATTCGATTTTTTACATCATTTTAAAGAATACAATTTTAAATCGCAAAATGAAACAATTAAGCGTAATCAATGGTATAATTTCTGAGCTATCAAATTTTAAAAAAGTCGTATTTTAGAAATTTAATATCTCGACAACTGTTCAACTATTTCGTTCAAATTTTGATATTAGTCATAAAAATTGATAATTTTTAAAATGATGTAAAAAATTGTATATTCTACAATTTAAAATTTTATGGACTTATTGAGTAAAGTATTAAAAATAGTAATTAATCGTTAAAAATTGTTATTTGCTTGGATTTGTTTTTTTGTTAAACTAATTTTATAATTATGAGCTAAAATTGTTTAATTCGTTAAAAAATTTTACGAGATATAGTGAAATAAGCTGAAAGTAAAATTAGCATTTAGCATCCAAACTTTTGATCGTTCTCTTGATTAAACTGTTTTCTCCGTTTTAATAAATGAGGAAAACCCCAATGTCGCCAAAAATTCGTCTACTACATTTCAGCACTAAAATTGAAAAAAAAAAAAAAAAAAATAAAAAAAAAAAAAAAAAAAAAAA